ACAATTTTTTTGATAAGTCATGCATATGATTAAAGTTTTGTTGGAAACAGTTAACCATCATCGTCATCATCAATTCCTGTATCCACTCAGTCAATCAAACTCAATTAGCTTTTAAAGTGATTTTTTATAAAACAATTTACGTATTATTAAGAGTTCAAAGATTTATTAAACACATTTTTAAATGAACAAATAATGCCACATATTAGCGTTTGGCCCATTAAGGCTGGCATAAGCTAATATTTCTTTCAAATTTATATATTTTCCTAATTCCACATAGTCGATTGGCAAACAAAGTAACTAGTAATTATATTTCCCATTCTAAGGATCTCATAATTTGCCAGCTCACTACTACTAATGCTAACTTACAACTTTTTGAATAAAATCGGAGAGTCAGAAACAGGTAACCCATACCAGTTGAGTCAAGTATACACCTTTTCCTAGGAACACACAAAAGGTTCATTCTAGTAATCACTATCATTACTTTACTTACATTGTTCCTTCCATGTTTCTTAGTATATTATTAGACATAAGTTTTATTTACTATTAAAAACAAACAACTTAATAAAGCAAGATATGTGTTTTTCTATTAGTCTGGCAACACAATAAATTAATTATAGGGCCGAACCTTGATCAAGAGCTACATGCATATTTTTTATTATGTTTTTTTTTTTCGAATAAAGTGAAATTATCTCAGTAATGTCAATAAATGTCATAAATTAAATTTATGATTGTTTTTAACAATTTTTAGTTTAATTTAAAATGCAATTTACTTAAATGCTATTTACTTATTAACTTATCACAGTTTGGTTGATTTAATTTATTCGAAATTATTTGTAATTTCCCTGTCACGTTGCTCGCTATTGTCAAGTGCTCCAAAGCACCTATTAGACGGGATTTGTAGCCGTCATTTACTGCCACAGTCAAGGCTAATTACATAAATAATGCACTGCAGCCAATGCAATTTCTTCGCAAATCTCGCCTTGCTATTCTACCCTACACAGTGGGTGGCATGCATATTTTTAATTTAAAATTAAATAATTGGCAGATACTTTGTTATTCATTTTGTTGCATACAATTGTTGTTAACAATTTTAAATTTATTTAAATTTATTTTTAAAATATATTTTTTCATGCGTTGGATACTGCGTTCTAATACCAAAGACCATTTTTAAGGTTTTCGCAAATATTTTTTTTATATATATAAACCTTCATACTGACAAAAACATATTATATTATAATAAATATATATATTATAAAAAATATATATATTATAAAAATATACTTCATAAATATATAGAATATTTAATTTTTTTTAAATATATAATATTTAAATATTTAAAGTTTATATGAATGAATTTGTTTTATTATATTTTAGGTCCATGCGGTGGTAAAACAACTGGTCAATCCCGCCTTTGCACATTTTTTGAAAATCTAGGATGGAAGGTATGTAGATACTTTAGTTTTAAGATTTTCATATTCAAACAGGTAATTATAAAATATCTTAAATCCATTTAAAATTATGTAATCTATTTGTATTATTCTATATTCGCCTTCAGGTTAATTTGATTTCAAACATTTTATACCACCACGCATGTACTTTGATCATAGAGATCCAGTAAGGCCTGGTGGTGCATTATGTCTTGAAGTTCTTATATTACTGCAGTATTAAGTTTTTATGGCACTGCTAAAAGTCCGGTTTTAATTATAATGTATGTTAATCATGCATAAAGTTTTATAAAGTTTTTGAACATTAGTATAGAAGACGCAAGTTTCCATTATCTATAGAAAAGTAACTACTTTTTAGCACTTTTTTCGAATAATCACAAGTTTTACAATAATTAAACTAGAAAACCAAACAAGACTTTTAAATTACCGTTTGTTGAATTAAGATTGGTTTTTTATATAAATTATTTTAAGATATCAAAATTTTTATGATAGAATATTTGAAGAGATAGGCGCTGTTTTTAGTATAAATATCTCTATTAAAAGCTGAGTAGAATGTATCTGTTTAAATTCAAAAGTTAAGCGATTCTTTAATTGATGTCAACCGATCTTTTTTATTTGTTTTCTATCGATCTTCTTATTTTATTTTATATTTTTTATTTTTGATTAATTTTTTTCCATCGATCTTTTTTTTTTATTTTTTTCTATTGATTTTTTTTTTCTTTTCTATTGATCTTTTTTTATTTTTTTTCTATTGATAATTTTTTTTTTTCTATTGATAATTTTTTTTTTCTATTGATAATTTTTTTTTTCTATTATTCTTTTTTTATTTTTTTTCTATCGATCTTTTTTTTATTTTTTTCTATCGATCTTTTTTTATATTTTTTTTCTATAGATCTTTTATTATTTTTTTTTATCGATTTTTTTTTATTTTTTTTCTATAGAATTTTTTTTATTTTTTTTATCGATCTCTACTTTTTTTTATCCATCTTTTTATTTATGTTTTTATCGATCTTTTTTTTATTTATGTTTTTATCGATCTTTTTGATTTTTGTTTCAATCGATCTTTTTTTTATTTTTTTCTATCGATCTTTTTTTTCCTTTTTTTTATCGATTTTTTTTTTATTGTTTTTCTATCGATCTTTTTTCCCATCGTTTTTTTTTAATCCCATTTTCCCTGTGTATTTCCCTAAATATTTCCCTGTATTTTCCCTGTATATACAAATTGTGATACCGGTTTGAGAACTTATACAGCTTTATTAAATGTCAGAACGTATGTTAACGTTATTATTAAATCCCTACTTCCTTTTCGAAACTCAGGTTGATGTAATAGACGTAACTTGTGTATAAAAAAATTATATGGCACGCAATAGCATTATTTGAAGAATAGAAGAAAATAGAAAATATCCTTATCTGATGAAAAGAAGAATAAAAGTATCATGTTTACATTATTCGAAAATTGTGTTTTTGGCGAAGATAGTACTTGAAGGGAGTAGCAATAATGAAATTTGCATTTAACAATTTAATAAATAAGATCAATTGCCTCTTAGAGATAAATTTACATCGAGAATCGCTAATAATGTTGTGTAGTTTATGTGTAATCTTCGATCAGCCGATTATACTTATATACCTTATAACTTAATGTGCCTAACTTTTTTTTAACATTCCTAACCTTTATTTTTAACTTGATTATATTATATATTAATAGAAATGACTTATGAGATATATGGGATTATATTTTAATGAAATATGCACTCGATCGATTTCTGGTATCAACAATTGTTTGGCCTTAAGTAAATCAATAGGAATGCTTCAATATATAGTGTAAAATAGTCTGAAATATTTTAGGAGATTTTATGAGATATATGCCACTGTATGAGATCTAAGATTGCTGCTCCATGTTAATATCATAAAATTTAATATTATTATGTTCTTAATTATTATTATTATAATGAACATAAATGCAATGTTGTAAGCGCTGAATAAATCTGCAATACTTAAGTATAATAATTAAAAGCCAATACATTTTCCCGTGTATACTAGCGCTTGTGCATACAAAATTGCTTAAGATAAGATATTGTAGCTACATACATTCTTTCGACGGAATGTGAAAATTATGATAATGATATGTTAGTATCAAGTCGAATTTTATGAAATATATCGTTTAATGCTTCATTATGATTTCTTATTAAATTTTGAAATTTTCGAAACCCAAACAACAATGAGCATATTCATATTTTCAGGTATTCCGTGTGCCTGAAACGGCTTCCGTACTACTCAGGTAAATGCCTTAAATAAAAAATAAATTTTTAATTAAATTTTGAAAAAAAAAATATATAAGAAATTGCAAAAGTAAATGTAAAATAGTTTTGCTGTAATTAAATTTCTTGGCATAAATTTAAAAGTTGCTTTTGATAAAAGTATATTTAAGCTGAAAATGAGAAAATCTTAAATTTTTTTATAACAAAAATGCTGCAAACAATTTGATATTGTGTTGTGCGGTGGCATTCAAATTCTACTACTATATCGTTTCGTTTTTCTCAAAAAAAAAAAAAAAAAATAAAAAAAAACTAAATAAAAAATAAAAATTAAATTTAATTTAAAAAATCTCGATATAAAAATTTTGTTGAAATTTAAATTAAATTTGTATTTAATTTTATTTTTTAAATCTAGTGGCGGTGTAAAGTTTTCGGACCTGACGGAAAAAGAAGGTAATTATAAGACATTTTTTAATTAAATAAATATTTAATTTTTAATTTTATTTTATTTTATATATTTTTTATACAAGTATATTATAAATAGTAAATGTTGCTATATATAGAACTTAATATATTAATATATATTATATAAAGTTATATACTAATAATTGTATCAATAAAATTATATATATATATAAATATATATATATATACATAATAATATTTATATTATATAATCCATATATATATAATAATAAATACAAATATATATACATATATTATAATGTAATACATACAATATATTAATAAATAATATATTATATTTTTTTTTTAAATAATAATATGAGTAATATAATGTAAAGATATTCATATAATATATATTATTTAACATATTACTTATTTTATCTAAAATAATTACATATTGTTAAATATATGTAATTATAAAATATATATGTAAGTGATAATAATGGTAATAATGTAAGTATTTTACTTTTACATATATATTTTTTAATTATATATATAGTTAACAATATATAATTATTTTATATAGTACAAAATGATGATATATTACATATTATATAAAACAAGAGACCACATATGTCGCGGTGTTATAGTATTTTCCATTAAATTAATTCATATTACATATAAGTATTTAATATAAATATTTAATACTAAAATTTATTTTATTTATACAATATCTATATGAACATATCTTTTATATATACATGCATATTACTTTCATACTCTCTCCATTGTCTATGTTTTATATCAATATTTTATATACATATATTGATGATACAACATATCGTATTTGTTTCAAAAAGTAAGCGGAATAATGTATGCTTCATTATGTCAATTGTTCTTAAATATATTTCTTACTCCTTCAAAATAATCCCAACTAGAGACAATACACGAATGGTAATATTTATTCCAATTGTTTCCAAACTGTTTCCATCGTATTCTTAGATCGAAATATTAAAATCTATCATATTTGGAAAGATTCGGATTTATTTATTAATATACAAGTATTCTCCTTGAATTTAATTCAAATATTCCAAAATTTTTTGTATATTTCTAAATCCATCTTATAGAATAATTGGTGAGACATTCAAAATAGACCTCTCTGGTTTCAAGCTAAAATTTCCTTTTCCAAGTCATTTTTCCAAGTTATACGAAAAGGTTATAAAGTAGAATGCATTTCTGGAAAATATACCACATGCAGGAGGATTTTGAAGTAGAATTCACGTAACCATCGTTTTCATCCACTAGTGACACAGTACATTCTTAGTGATAGTATATTCTTTTTCTGCATTTAGGACCGTTTTTGGCGATTTCATTCTTCCGATCGCATCTTAGGTCGACTTTCTCTACTTTTTTCGATTTTGTTGGTATACTGTCACTGAAGGAGTTATTTACAGAGTGTGGTAAAGTGAATTCGTAAGTCTTATCAAGCCATACTTGTGATACAGCGTTACTTTTTTTTCTCACCAAAATTTATTTTTAATTTTCATGTGATATTTTTTCCAATCGTTTTAAAAATATTAAAAATTGTCATATCAATGAAACTATATATATTGATATAAAATATCAATGAACCTTAAATATTTAGTGTGCGTCACATTTTAAGATACACAAAATCTTCCAGTTGTTGGTACTTCGGCTAAATAGTTGTTTTTCACAAGTCACCATGTATATATCAGATCAAATACTTTCATTCATATCAGATCAGATCAGAGATATCTTCACGTATTTTAAATTACAAATTTCGGATACTTTTTGAGCAGAAAGTATAAGTAATATACATCTATATAATATATATTGTATATATAATATATAAGACAGTACAGTATTTATAAGATATATACTATATAGTTTTAGCATACATAGCATTAATTCCATATTTGCAAGCAATTTTTTTTCAATATTTTACATTTTGTTTTTTAAATAATTTTAGATTTTGTTTTTTAAATAATTTTAAATTTTATTTCATATTAAAACTGATTTCTTTTTTCTAACATACACTATTTAGTGACCTATTAATTTTAACAAGCAAAATAAGTTCAATAAACTTATTTTATATTTTTATATTGACTAGCATTTTTCGCAAAATTTAAAAGTAAGTCAAGCAAAAAATTCTTTATTGAATTAAAATGAAATAATTCTTAATTCTGCAACTCGATAAATTGCCAGACTTGCTAATCATCAAATTTCATTACTCATAAAAAATTAAGGCACAGTAAAAATTAAAATAAAAAAGAATTCAATGAAATAATTTTCATATAGAACGTTTCAAATTTATGTTTAAATTGAAATACAATAATTGCATAACTGTCAACAATATGTATATTATTGGATTCAAATGCCAAATACGGTTCTAAAAAACATGTAAATATTTATTTTATATTTCTAAGTCAGCAAAAATATATTAGCACTTAAGTTTACAACATAAACGTAGAAATCCATAACTGAGTGATGTTACACTTCTTTAAAGACAAAGATTGATTCTGAACTTGCTAAAACCCATTCCGTTATTTCAACTACTCTTTGTATTTTTTAGTATTTAATAAAACTA